TATTTATGCATGTGGTTCCATGTTTGTGCCGTTTTATGTTTTAGTATTGTTTGTTTCGCTGCTGTGATAAGGCACTCAGTGATTGTATGACAATATGCATCTTTGTTTGACGCGTTCGCCACATTTGTTATTATTTGTTTTGGTAGGATTTTGTCTATAATTAATTTATATTCGATCCAATTTGCTTTTTTGTAGTTGAATTTTTCGGTATGCATTGATTTATATGTATGGGGGTGAGGTTGAAGGTGTTCCAGATTGGGAGATAATCACTATGTCGATTCCTGCTTGAAAATTTACGAAATTTCGACTCGTATTGTATGAACACAGGTAAAGATCCAGTATATCACTGGTGCCGTGTGCATAAGAAATATGTTTCGGAGCGGCATCATTTAGCAACACTGTGTTAGTATCTAATAAATGTATGTATAATATTCTTCCATTTAGGTTTGTGGAGTTAGTTAAAAATTGTATGTTTGCTATTTAGGTCGCCTGTTAAAATATTATTTGTATTATGATTATTTATTTGGCACAATAGGTCGAGGTCTAACAAGGGCGCCTGCAGAAAAAAAAATGTTGTGTATATGTGTGTGTGTGTAGGGGGCAAGAAACTCAACTTTGAAAAAATTATGAAATCGATATACAAATACCTTATGATTTTACAATAACATAGAAGAATAATTTTATACATCTAGTTTTTTTTTGCGGGCGCCCATGATGTCTAAGTTTTTATTTGGTGAGCAGTATATATATATATATCTGCTACCGTTACAATATATGCGTTTTATGTTAACACATCTACGGCTATACATTCATTTGATGAAGTAAATTGTACTTCTTTTACAATAAGATCGGTTTTATACAGTAGTAGGATTCCTCTGTTGTTTATTCCATCTTTTCGTATTGTTAAATATCCTTTGATTTTGAATCTATGGTTTTAATATATACAGGTTTCACTTATTACACATATTTTAGGTTTAACTATGTTAGTAATATCTTCAATCTCATGTTTCTTGAAAGCAAGTGTAAAACTGTGAATTTTATGTGACTAGGGATCCTGTGATTGATTAGATTATCTGTGGTATGTATGGTGTGTTTTTGACTATTTGTATTATTAGTTCTATGCAATCTTTGGTTTGTGTTGGTTGTGAATATTCTTTGATGAAATCTGTGAAAATGTTTTTGATTATTTCCATGAATATATGGGTTTTTCGTTTTTAGTTGTTTCTGTATCATTGTTTGTTTGTGCATTTTGTTGGTCTATTTGTGGTTTGGATTTGTTTTTGATGTTTTATGTGTTTGTGCATATGTTACTGTATTTATTTAGCTGTTGGAAGTAGAGGTTGTTTTGGTTGTTTGGTGAGGGTGTTCATTTTCCAGTACTCTTTTATATTAGGTTTTTAATGTCGATATATGCGTTGTTTTATTTGTTTGTATTTCTCACAGCCTTTTGGTTGTGGTTTTTCTTGAGTTCACCGTGTTGCTGATAATCTCTATCACATCCGAAGCACCTCGGTTATGCCAGACATGCTACAGATACATGTTCAAATCTTTGGCAGTGGAAGCATTGTGTAACTATAGTTGCCGGCGTTTTTGTTTGTTCTCTGATACCAAAGTGTTAACTCGTTGTTAATAATAGTGAGTGTGTTGTCAGTGTCTACCCTTACTAAGATTGTGGGTTTTTGTGCGAGTTTTGAGATTATTCTTTCTACTTTTATGTGTGGAATGTTTTGTTCTGTCAGTGCTTCCTGTATTTGGTCTTTGTTAATGGAGTAATGAACTCCCCGTATAACAAAGGATTTGGGCTGGGGTTTGCTTCCGGGAAGTTGGGATTTTTATTTGACCTCTGCCAAAGGCGTCGTTTGATCATTCTTTAGCAGTCTGTTTAGGACAAGGTCGCCTCCCCTGAGCAGATGCTTTATGGTTGCTATGGATGCGTTTGGTTTACACCTCTTAATTTCTGAAGCTAGTTGAGGTTGGTTATAGCTTCCGGGAATTCCTTCTACGATTACTGAATATTTTGGTGGTGGTGTTTTACTTGTTGTGTTTGTGTTAGTTAATTCTTTAGTTTATTTGTGTGGTATTTCGTTTTTGTCTCTTTGACGTTACTAGGACGAATCCTTCTTGATTTGTATCTTCT